ACCCAGATTGGAGGCTGCCAGAGTTGCTGGCCCTCTGTTCTGCCAGACCCCTGTGGGGATGAGGGGATGGATAGAAGGCAGCGCCCAGCTCACCGTGGGCCATGGGTACCTCCTGGCTCTCCTCCACAGCTGTGGATGCCTGGTGGCTCCTGACGGGCCTCTTGCAATGTGACGTCACCTCTCTGCCCCATTTCATCCTGCCTCTGCCCCCGGGGCAAGAACTATAATCACAGAGGGTTTACCCACACGTCTATGGTCAGCAGCAATACAGGAGGAGGTAGGGTTTGGACCTGGATCTCGGCTTGCAGGTCTGATGCCTCTGTTCCCCCCAGCGCATCCTCTAGTGACAGCTGCAGACTCTGGGGAAGCCCTCCAACCTCCCAAGGCTCACGATCTATGCCTTCAATCATTCGTTTATTAACTTCTTCACCCAACACTTACTATGTGCTGCGTGCATCGGCACCAAGGGGACAGAGAGGACAAAAAGGAACCGACGCAGAAGGCTGTCCAAACTCAAGCTTGGCACAGCCCAGAAAGGATTGGGCAGTGCTGGTAGGGATGAGGTGGGCAAGGGACCGGGGGCAACCTGGGGTGGGAGCCCGTGACAGCTAGAGGACAGGCCCGAGGAGAAGCCATGGAAGCCAAAAGCCAGGAGCCACAGTTCCCATGGGAAAAAGGCTAGGTAGGAGGAGAAGGGTGCACAAGTGCGGGGAAGAGATCAGAGCATTTTTGGGTGTCGGCAGGGGAGTTGCCAATTTTTCGATCTTTCATGGCTCTGCGCCTTCACACCGAGAGCCACAATGCTGGCCTTCACACCTTGGCCTTGGCCAGCAAATAGAAAGAATCAGAGGCGTGTGAACTTCTGAACCAAAGACAGTGCTGCCTGGTACTGCCTCAGGGACTCCAAAGCGCATTAAATGGTGAATTGCTCTTGCTTAGGGATTGGGCTGTCAAAAAAGACAAACTTCTGTTCACCACGAACTCCAACAGAAAAGCTAGCAGTTGAGTGTGGTGGCACATGCCTGTGCTCCCAGCTATGTGGGAGGCTGAGACAGGAGGATCGCTTGAGCCCCTGCATTTGAGGCCAGCCTAAGCAACAAAGTGAGACCCCTCGGAAAAAAAAAAAAAAAAAAGACAAAAATAACAACGAAAAACCCATCACATGCTTCAGTTTGGCTAATGGAAATCACTTTTCAAATCAGTCCCAGATTTTTTTTTTTTTTTTTTTATGAAATGGATGCAATTCACGCGCCTGTGAGATCCCCAAATTCTAGAACTTCTTATGTGTTAGTAATTGGGAAATGTGAAGCATTTTTATGCTTATTTGGAGATTTGATAGACTATGCAGAAGAAAATTGATTTCATCTGAGTCCACAAACCACGACAGGTGTGCAACTGTGTGCCCGCAAGGCTGCTGAAGGTGAACTCGTGCATTACCAAGAAAGTTAGTTTTGCACTGAGCCCAGTGTGTTTGGTAGAAAATTCCCACGAGCTGATCGGCCATGCCAAGCGGGAACAGCAGAAACCGAAGTTTACAAGCTGGGCGTCTGTGCGCTTTGACAGCCCTTTCTGCCGGCGAACTCCGGGAGCTGAGGACGGCCGTAAAGCCGTGTTTGCCTAGAGACGCCGGCGAAGTACTGACTGGCAGGGAAATAATTACATGCAGGGAGGATGGGAAGGCGCTGGTACAAGACACTTGCGCACAGGTGTTGCTGTTTGAGCCACCTGTGTGTCCTGAGTGTGAGTGCATGGGGATACCCAGAACAGTGTCCTGATGGGAACATGGGGAGCCTAACAGGGGTCTCCGGTTGTGTATCTCGGCTCCTAGAAGAATTGGAAAAGAGCAGCAGAATGCGAACCTATTCTCCAAAGAAAGCCGTGCCTTACAAGGAAAAGGTAGCTTCAGCGCACACTCTGCATGGTGGGGGTCTGATGGCTCTTACACTGCTTCATGGACTAAATTTTCTTTTTAGCTTTCTAAAATTCTTTTTCCTTTTTTTTGGTACAATCTGCTCCATCGGTGGTGTATTCGGTGTGTGTGTGTGTGTGTGTGTGTGTGTGTGTGTGTGTACACCGTTTATTTCATCTTTGCCTCATTCCCAGACCAGGAGGCAGAAATTGTGTCCAGACTTTTAGAGAGTACTAATTTGTTTTATGCTTTGCAAGATTGGCTCCTTGAATGTGTATTATGACAACAGTGACAAGGTAAGCATTGGATGCATGTAAAAATATTGAAACTGGTTCAGTAAATGAAGAGATGTCTTTCAGGGTCTCACCAGTAGCTCAGGCTGGCCTCAAACTTGCAGTGATCCTCCTGCCTCAGCCTCCTGAGTGCTGGGATTACTGGTGTACACCACCAGGGATGTCTCTGATTACACTGCTGGGGGGCACAGTGGGACCCACCATAGTGATGTGCTGTATGGCTATTTTGCTCATAGCTGTAATATCTGCACAACTGTCAGCAGAATGCCTGAGGGTGTATGCTTGCAAAACTAGGTCCCTTTTGTTGGTTTTATTAAGTGACCCATGAAGTGTCCTATTATGTTTTTATGTCCCTCAAACAAGTTTCCTTCTAAAAATTGTAAAAAAGTCTTTAATTTTTTCATAGTTTTTGGATTTTGATCTTTCAAGATTTTACTTTGAGTGTTTTAGAATGTCGCCATGTGGGATTATGATATTTGGGATGGTGTCCTTTGTGATTATGGCCCTCGCCCTGTCCAAACTGGAGTGGTGTGGCTCAGGAAACCAGATGGGGGAAAGAGACGATCCAGGTTAAGGCTGGAGTACAGGAGTTCAGCACAGTGGCACAATGCATGCACAGCCTGTGCAAAGGCCCTGGGGTCCGTCTTAGTACTCCCCTCCCCAAGAAAAAAGTTGGGGCTCAACTTGGGCAGAACCAGTGCAGATCCGGTGCAATCAAGGCAGGGGCGGGGAAGGCAGGCATTATCTGCGGTGGTGCTGTGGCACCAAGTTCTGAAGAACTGGTCTGGGTGAAGCTGAGCCCCGTGGGAGGCTGAGACACAGTGGGACTGGGCGTAGTCATGACAACAGACTCCCTCGCTCCTCTAAGAGGTTCTTTCGCACCCAGGTCAGGCACAGGAGCTCGCCCAGGAGCCGTGCCTTCTCCATGTCTGCCCACCCACTCTTCTCAATGTTTCAGAGGAAGGAGGGAGGAGGAAAGCACCAGCTGCATGGCCCAGGGTCGAGTCAGAAGAGATCATAGGAGGAAGGATTTTGGGGGCTGCTCCCCCAGGGTGTGTCAGTGTACAGGATTCTGATAGAGTTTGTGTGCTCATGGGCTGTATAAACAGAAGCATCGTGACCAGGACTGAGGAGGTGATAAAGCCTCTGCCTTCTCACATCCATGATCAGGTAACAGGACTGTTTGTATCTGAGTTCCAGATTTTCAGAACCACATTGAGAAACACAGATATGAGTTTGGCTTCCCAGTAAAGAATGAGCGGCCTGAGGAGGAAGGTGCTCACCATCCCTCAGAGGCTCCCACAGTGCAGATGGAGGTTTCCGGCTGGCCAGGCTGCTCCTGGTTCTGAAGCCACCTCTGCTCATGGGCAGGGCTGTCCCCAGGAGCACAAAGCTGGGTCCAGTTCTGGAGGCTGCTCTGCTGGGCGCTTGCAAGGCCGGCGCCTGTGGGGCTCAGAGGACCACTGGGCTCTGGTGCCTCTGCGTCGCGGTGGGCTGGGGGTGGTGGGGCTGCCTCTGGGGTCCTCATCTTCACCTGAGCCCCACGGAGCCCACACCAGCAGGGTCAGAGGAGCTGGGCTTGGGCCATACAGAGGCTGGAGGAATCTGTGCCGGGTGCCGGGGGAGCCAGGAGCCCCAAGACCTCCGTACCTGGGACGCAGCCATCAGTCGGGGGAGCCGGCCGGAAGAGACGGAGCTGGGAGCGGCGGGCGCGCACGGGCGGTGAGACGCAGGAAGGGGAGGGAGGCCTCTGAGGGCCGCCGCAGGACCAGGACTCTGGGGAGCTCAGCGGCGTCAGGACAGGGTGTGGCACCTTGCACAGGGGTGCTGTGCTGAGGGACAGTGACCCTTGCATCTCGGGGCCGGGTGTGCAGGGCGCACTGGCGACAGGGACAGTGGGGCTGGGCGGTGCCCTGGGACAGGGGCAGGGGCATCCAGCGGCTGCGTCCTTGGTTGGTGCTCGCCCGCCACTCACTAAAACTCCCGGCACCCTTCTCCAGGAGGCAGCTTCCAAATCAAATAGTGACACGCAAAGAAGCCGCGAGGGCACCACAGGGGCATCTCCCAGGCTCCTTAGGGTAAGTGGCTGGGATGTTCCCGGCCCCAACATCCTTGCACAGGTGTCTCCTGCAGCAGAACTGTGACCTCTCCGGCACCGCTGTGGCCTTGGCCCCATCTCGCTGCGGCCTTGAAGTTCTGCAACGACCTTCGCAGCTGGAAGGCCTCGCCTGGCCGCGGGGCGCGCCGGGTGTTTGTGGGGCGCACTGCTGGGGCCGGCCTGGGCTCTCCTGACCTGAGAGTGGCTGAGGCTCCCGGTCACACCTGTGACTCGGCCCACTGAGCTGCCCCTTGCGGTGACAGCAGCACAGAGCGCCTCCTGCATCTGCTCAGTGAATGACTCCTCTTCACAGCCCGCGGTGTCAGAGGTGACTCTATTACCATGGCCGCGGGACCCCTTTCCAGGGGCGCCTCCCCCAGGGCGGAGCCAGGAAGGACGCACCCCAGACATGCACCCCATTCACCCTAGTCAGCAAGCTCAGGCAGGAAGGACCCCCCACCTTGGGTCGCCTGCTGTCTGCGGTGTGCTGGAGTCCCCAGAGGGGGTCAGTAGGCCACGATTCATGTTACCAAAGCAAAGCGAAACAAAAAAGCCAGCCCATCGGCCGCCCTGTCACAGTGTGGTCACGTGGAGGGCGGCGAGCGCGTGCTGCGGGCAGGCTGCACCAGCTCCTTCTGGGGAGCACCGGCCTGGCGCCTCCTTGGCGGTGGCGACCTCCCACCCCCACTCAGAGCCGTACCTTTGGTCTCCACCAACAGCTCCTCGGTGAACTTGACGGCCCGCGCCACCTGCACCCAAGGGAAGCCTTTGCCCGCCGCAAAGAGGACGCTGTCGTAGAGGGCATCCAGCAGGATGCTCCGGCGCAGGTCCCTGAGCTCGTCCAGCTCCTCCCAGTGCAGGAGTCTCCGCAGGTGCTCCCGGCCTCTCTGTTTCTGCAGAAATCAGAGGCCTCCTTACTGGAGACACCGGGCTGGGAACACGGCAGCTCTCCAGAGCTGGAAAGGAACCCGGAGCTTGGGGTACCTGGGGGGAATCCCCCTTTGGTTTCTAGACAGCTCCCCCGACCTTGCTGGGGACCCATTCATTTTTCAAGAGCTCTTCTTTTCTTTATGAGTTCTCATCCTAGCTGCTGGAGCCCCAGGTAGGGTGCTTCCACACCTTGAAGCTCTGAATTATGGTCTCTCTTCTCCCTTCCTTAAAACACAACTTGATTTCCTTTCTAAGCTACTGTACTTTCAACTAGCCAGCTTATTGGCCTGATAATGCAATTTATACTAAAGTGCAAATGACTAATGGAGAGGAAGCATTATCTATTTATTTTGCTGTATTGGGGATGAACATAGGACCCTCGCATTGAGCGACACCCCCATCCCTTTCTATTTTTATTTTTAAATTTTGAGACAGGATCTCCCTAAGTTAAGTTGGCAAGGCTGGGCTTGAACTTGTGATCCTCTTACCTCAGCTTTCCAAAGTTTGGGATCACAGAAGTGCACCACCAGACCTAGCCAAGGAATGAGTCTTACTTGGTGGGATTTCAGGTAGCTTGGTGCCCAGGAAAAGCCTGGTGGAGGCACCTTTTTGCCCTGTCTGCAGGAAGGCGCAATTGCCTCAGATTCTGTGGCTTTTGCAGACGGGCTCTCAGGAGGTCACCGACACCCCACGGGGGGTAAGGAAGGGGCGAGGCAGTGTGGAGACCCACACACAGAAATATGAGCGCCGCTCTCCCAGAGCAAGGAGGCTCTGAGGGAGACCTTGAGGGGGCCAGTGGCAGAGCTGGGGCCGGGGGAGCCCTGCCCTCAGCCCCTAGCAGCCCCACTCCCATCAGCACCCCTCCTCTCGATCCAGGCTCCCGCGCCCTTGTGACCCCAAGTCGGCAGAGCCCTCTTCCCCCACACTGGGTCCCACCCTGAGGCCCTAGGGGGCCAGTCCTCTCCCCTCCTGCAGGCCCTGCACCTGGGGTGTCCCTGGCTGTGCCCACTGCTGCGGGCTGTGCTGGGTGAAGCCACGGTGTCCTCCCGCTGGGCCACTGCCAGAGCCGCCCTAGCACGCACGGCTCCCTAGACCCCGAGGCAGTGCCTCTCCCAAGGCCCACTTCTCCTCCCTCACCGGCAGCTGGAAGACTTCTTTTACTTCCTGGGGCATTAACAGTGCCATGGCCCTACATCCAGTTGCTAGGAGACCTCGCCCAGATGCTGGAGGTTCTAGAACAAGGGGTTGGTGCCAGCTTTGTTAGGGCGTGGGCAGCTGTGGCCCTTAGGGCCTCTTTGCTCCTGGCCCTCTTCTCCCCTGTGCCCCGGGTCGTCGTCCTGTGCCCATGTGTGTGGGGACCTCCAACCCATCTTCCGTCAGCTTCCGTCTTCTGCTGTACTGTCCAGCAGTGAGCAGTTTTGGACACATGCACACGTACACACTCACACACACACACACACACACACCTCTCATCCTGCCCAGCCCTCCAACTCCAGACGAGCAGCCCCGTCCTCCCCACCTTGGGATCCATGTCCAGGGCCAGCTGTGACTGCTGCTGTCCTCCCAATGTCCCACTGCCACCTCCCCTCAGGACCCTTGCTGGCCTGCACCCTCTGTGATTCTGTATTTCTAGCATCATGATGGTTTTCTGGGATGCAGGATACAGCTCCACAAGGGTACCCCCAAGTATGGCACGGAGCTCCCTTGACCCTGCTGGGATGAGGAGCCCAGGCTCCATCTCTTGCCCAGCTTTGCCCCCCCCATACTGGGAGCTGAGGGGGCCTAAGTCTCCCATGGGGGCAAAGCTGCCCCCCACCCATGTGCAGAGCCCCAGCAGGGGCAGCTGGGGACACATGCACGCATACACACTCACACACACACACACCTCTCATCCTTCCCCAAGGCAGCCCATCTGCTCTCTTTCTCTAGGCATACCTGAGTTTCTTACCTGAGGATCTTGTCGACACCCAGGATTTGCCCAGCTGGTCCTGGGCCGCTGCCCCACCCCATCTGCCCAGATGACTCTCACAACTCCGTCCCCTGTTCATTACCTTGTGCCAAGGCCCTCCCCTGAGCCCTGTCACATCACAGGGACACCTTGCACCTTGTCCCTTTCTCTTAGCCATCTGAAAACTTATTCAGAGCCCCCCCCACACACACACTCTGCAAGGCCAACAGCTGGTTGGGTTTTATCTGTGACTATTTTACCCACCACTGTGCAAGGCTTGTACCTTGTGTGTATGCGCTGGTTGTTGCTTGGCAGTGACTACGATCGCTGCAGCTCTTATGACTTTGCAGTCTATGTGTCTGTGGGTGGTCACCTCCCCTTCCAGCCCTCTTGCCCTGTGAGGGTGGGGACGATGTCTTCTGGGCCTCTGGAACCCAGTGCCCATTGCAGGTTCACTACATATTTGTGAGTTGACTATTCAGAGGTGTCTTGAAGTGATACTGACAGAGGAGCACTGGTCACGGAACCTGTCCGAGTTGCTGTGGGGACCCCGATCCTTGCAGGTGGCCATCCTGCCTGCCACAGTGAAACCCAGGCACCATGTGCTTCGTCCTGGGACAGCGAGGCCTCCGACTCCAGGTAAGACTGAAGTTGCATTTACCTACCTGCTTGTGTCAGATTGCAAAATACCCGGTAGCGTGTGGACTCTGTCCTTGGCTCAGGGAGCATTTGACCGAGATGCTTTTCTGATCCTTTATCATCATCATCATCATCATTGCGTTTGTCATCTCCTTTGTTACCCTCCTTGAGATCCTTCAGAGACATGAGCTGGGATTCCAGGAACGCGGTCACGCTGTCTCTAAGCATACTGTCTGGGAGGGGACACGGACCCTCTCATCCGAGCCCTTAGCGCCTTAACTTTCCAGACAGTGGGCTGCAGCTGGAGGAGCCAAAAGGACGTCGCTAATCGGATATCAGTCGACACGTGAGTTCAAGCCTCTGGCCCCAAACTGGTGCCATTTTGCCTATAGCCTCTTATCTGCCTGATTGTGGCGGAGAAAGAAGGCAGGAAGAGGAGTGTCACAGACCAGAAGCTGGCGACCTTGTGGCGCACGGGGAAGCCCATGGAATGGTGTCACCTGCTAGCCCTGGGATGTATACCATAAGCCCACAAAGCTGTCACTATAGGAAATACAGACTGGAACCCAGATTGCTGGCAGCAGAGTTCAGGGCGGGGGTGAGTGCATACCAGCATGGGGTGGTCTACAAGCACGGTGGGGGGGGACCACTGTTCCTAGGAGAGACGGCCTGTGGCTGACGTCAGTGCAGACCGAGAGCGTGCAGTCCTTTCACTCATGTATTTATTTAAGGCAACTTTTTAAAAATCATGCCACAACGCCCATCAGATTTACCATTTCACCATTTTAAGTGTGCCACGGAGTGGCATTAAGTACATTCACATTCCTTGTCGCTGTCTCCACTGTCCCTGTCTGGAACTGTCCTCATTTCCCCAGGATGATATTCTGTACCCACTGAACACAAAGTCTCCCTTCTCCTTCCTTCTCCCCCAGGACCCCCCATTCTTTCTATGAATTCCATGGCGCTAGGAGCCTCATATGACTGGAATCTTACATCATTTGTCCCTCGTCCCTGGTTTAGTTTACTAAGCACAGGTTCCTTCATGCTGCAGTTACTGAGTTGGGTTTCTGTCCAGGTTTTGATGTTTTAAACAAAGGATTGAGCAGGATACCCAAGAGTTGCAGCAGGATCAGTGATTTACTGAAAGAGGAAAGACAAGATCCCCTCCACCATGTGGGGGCCCTCCAGTGAGACGCACTCACAGCTCCGGGAGCTTGGTGCCGAGGCTTTCAAGCTTTAGTGTTTGAGGCGTGACTGAGGGCTTGATCTGAGTCATGACTCTTGCCAGGGAGCAGCTCGACTCAATCCTTTCATCGGGCAGTAGAGTTTTGACCTTTGGTGACCCTTGGAGGGACTGTCATGGCGTCCAAAGCCACGGGACAGGGGAAGGTGTCAAACCTGCCTAGTCAGTGGGCATGGTGATTAGGGCTAGGGTTGGCCAAGTGTTGCAGCCATGGGAACTTGTTGTGTAGAAGCTGAGCTACCTGGTTATTTTTTCCCATTGTGTTTAGATCTGGACATCCTGGCCCTGGGCTGATGTTTAACTCAGACGGTAGTTAAACATTTCTGCCCCCAGAAAGCAGGTTCCAAGGCAGGCCCTGCCTTCTCTCCCAGCCATTTTCTCATGTCTTAGATCTAGCCCAGAAAGCTGACTCTAAGACAGGTGCGTCCTCCCTTCTTTCTGCAGCCTTTTACCTAGCTGCCTCCCACCTCAGTAGCATGTGTCAGAATTCCCTTCCTATTTAAAGGCTGAATAATATGCCACTGTATGCACTTATCGTATTTTTTTATCCATCCATTTTTCAAGGACACTTGGATTGCTTCTACCCTTAGGCAATTGTGTGCAAATGCACAGCACTGCAGTGTGAAGTTCTACAGGATCAAAAAACCCAACTGCCTCTACACCTCAGATGATCAGCTTGTTAAGTGTTGGCTTCAGGTGACAGCTGCAGTGGGATAAGCGAGCTACCTCACCCGACAAAGGCAAAGATAGGAATTCACTTCCGACTGAGCTCTTTGTTCTAGATGTTACCTCAATCCAGTGGTAGGAATTTAAGTGCTGGGGCTGGGATGGCCCCGCCGCTGAGGAGCACATTCAGCTTAAGCCCCAAGAGTCTGACAAGGCAGGAGCTTGTCCTGCATGTGCTCCTTGCGTGGATCAGCTAGAAGCAGTTGAAACCCAGGTAAGCTGAATTTTGGGTTCCACAGTGCCATCCTAAACCCAACCCGACCTGCACTGTCCTGGAGACACCCAGCAGCTTCCAGACCCAAACTAACAGCAGGGGCTAAAGGGGGAGATTTCCAGGGAAGTTTGTCCTCCTGACACCCTTCCAAGAGGAAGCCAGGGAGAGTAAGAAACCAGGAAGAGCTCTAGAGAGGAGAGTATTGGTGAACGGAGCCTCAGGAAGATCCCGAAGGGTGACCCAGAGGGTGAAGCCGTACTGGCTGGATTGGTGTGGACCATGGAACGTGATCCATGGATCCTCTGAGGAGACCAAGAGCCCTTACAACTATGCTCCAGGGTGTTGAAGAATCTGTTGCAGCCCCGCGGCTGCCTGGTGTTTCCCATGGTCCTCTCCTAATGGGGTCTTACTATTCTCTGCCTCTGTGGGATGCTGGGCACAGACTCTTGGCCTTTTCATGTTTACAGCTGAGTGTCCAGGCATCTCACAGAGGAATTATCCCCAGAGGGGAAGGATATGAACTCAGTCTTCACCATGAGCATGGCTGGATGAAGGGACTCCTGGGTGTCAGGACACTGTAGTCACCAGTGGATTAACTCACTGATGCTGAGCAGGCTGCTAGGAGGCGGCCAGTGAGAGGTGGATTATGGGGGCTGCCTTTGGAGGGTGATCTCTTGAGGTGCTCTTCCCCTGAACTCTGCTCCAGGCCACCATGAAGGGAGAAGCTTTGCTTGCCATGCTATTCCTGTCTTGGAGCCAAGCCATGGACTGCATCCTCTGAAACTATGGGCCACATAACCCTTCTTCCTTTAAACTGTGGGTATCAGGGTTTGTCCCAGCCCCAGGAAGCCTGCTTATACAGTGGATGCAGCTGGAGAATGTGAATTGTAGTAGATGCCGTTTTTATCTAGTATTCATCCTCTCCCAGTTCTTGCCGATAGGGCCAATTTGGTTGCAGGCAACAATGTACAAGGCTAAAAAAATAAAAAATAAAAAAAAATTCCCAGCATTTCAGAGTCTTCCTTGCACACTGAACTTGTGACATAGTCCTAGTTAGCTTCTCCAGGCTTTACAAAGCCTATTTTCCTTTTATTCATTTCTTTGTTCCATTTGCAGTCATATTACATGCACCCAAATGAACATCCCATTGTGGGGTCCCTGGAAGCCAAGGTCAGCTGCATCTGCCACTGGCTGCCTCTCTGGACTCTCTGTGGCATGGGAAAGGAGGAAATCCTCCACTGTGGTTCAAGCCATGGGTTTAGGTTTAGAGTCCCTCATAGCTGACTCAATCCCTCCGTGCTACAGGCCTGAATTTCTGAGGCCCAGCTGGGTCACACAGGGTCAGGAGGAGGGCCAGGCGGTAAGGGAGGCTCTCTTCACAGAAGCAAAGTGGTTTGCCAGAGCCAGGAAATGGGGCCGTCCAGGCGTCAGGGTCTCTCTCCTGGCCGCCC